GAAAATGATCCAAATGTCCTTCAATGGGGTGAATACTTTAAAAAAATGGTATATCCATACCATGGAATTCTACTCAGCAACAAAAAGTAACAAACTAGTGATATACACAACAACCTGGATGGATCTCAAGGGAATTATAATGAGTGAAAAAAGCCAATCCCTAAAGGCTACATACTGCATGATTCAATTTATACTACATTCCTGAAATAAAAACATTGTAGAAATTGAGAAGAGATTAGTGTTGTCATGGGTAAGGAATATGGGAGAAGGGTCCAGATGGCTGTTAAAGCAGAAGCACAGGGAGCCTTGTGGTGATGGAACTATTCGGCTTCTTTTTTTTTTTTTTTTTCCTTTTTTTTTGTCTTTTTTCATGACCGGTAACGGGATCGCAACCCTCGGTGTCGCGCCCACACAGTGCTCAACCAGTGAGCAGACCGGTCTCTATATGGGATCCAAACCCTCGGCAGGAGCGCCGGCCTCTACCGAGGGCGCCACCGGGCCGGCCCCTATTCAGCTTCTTGATTATCTCGATTGTGGTGGTAGTTACAGGAATCTGCACAGGTAATAAAATGGCAAAGAATCTCCCTCCTCGGCTATCACACACACATGTAAAACTAGTAAAATCTGAATAAGCTCTGTGCATTGCACCAATGTCAAAATTTTCTGGTTTTGATATTGTACAATAGTCATGCAAGACGTTTCCAAGGGGCAAATATGTGTGTAGGGTATACAGGATGACCCGTTCATTTTTTTAAATTATTTTTTGCAACTTCCTGTGAATCTATAATTATTTCAAAATAAATGGTTTTAATAAAAGCTAATCCCTTATGGTTTCACAAGTGTATACATGTATTAAAACTGATCAAATTTTACACTTCGAATATGTGCAGCTTGTTGTACTACTTCAATTATACTTCAATTAAGGTGGAAGAAAAGAAAAGGTTAGGGCTGGCCCGTGGCTCACTCAGGAGAGTGCGGTGCTGATACCACCAATGCCGCGGGTTCGGATCCTTTTAAAAAGAAGAAAAAAAGAAAAAAGGTTAATGCCTTCATAATCATAACTGCTTATGAAAACATTTTTAATCTAAATTGCTTATGAAAACATCTTTACTCTTTCCCCATATCTATTAAGATACTGAAGGCAATATCAATAGACACTAAGGGTCCAATTACATCTGCTTATACGACCCTACCCAAAATATGCGCAGAAAAGTAAATGAACATTTTTCTTTATAAAGCAAAAATAAAACTTGAAAGGCAAATGCAGAACCACTAACTATTATGGATAGCTGAGACAGCATATTTTAATGCATTCTTCTGGCAACACCAGATTCTACCTCCTTTTCTTTTTTCTCTACTTCCTTTTAAAACAAAGACTTTTTTGCTACAATTTTAAGTAGTCAGTGTGGAGAAGATTCATTCTAAAATAAGACTTAATAATAAGATCGGCTGAATAACAGTATAAGGAGATCATGTTCTTCGTTCTCCAAATAGTACTTGTCCAAGATTTTCACAAGGTTTTTTTCTTTCCAGGGTCTTGAAAGAAGTCAAAGTTAAAAGAGGAAAGGTTCAAGTAAGATAATAACATCAGCAAAGAAATCAATCTTTGTAACTCATCTAGCCTCTCCACTGTTCATGGTATTGCTTCTGAACATGTGACCCAGCAAGTGTCTAATTATGGTTTATAGACCTCTGTATATATTTCTCTTTAGATTGTTTAACCTCTGAAAATTAGGAATTCATTACTTAACATGTTCATATTGCTGCTCTTAACATTCAAGACTTTTTTTTTTTTTAGTCCTAAGGGTCTTAGCCACGCCCCCTCCCCCCCATGGCATCCTGTGAAGGAGCACACCCCCCTCCTCCCGCGCCCTTACCCCCACCTCTCTCCCCCTCCCACTGCACCGCAACAACATCTTAGAATGTAAAAAAAATACTAGTAAAATTAAGGTTATTGAAAAATAAATAAATAAAAATGAAAATAAATATAATAAAATAAAAATAAATGGCTTTGCTACATTGTTCAAGAAAAATGAAAATATACAAGTGTTACTCAGTTCAGCTATCTGTTGTGTGAGATAATATTGAAAATAACGTTTGATTTGTAGACTCACATAGAATTGCATATTGTTTTAAGATTTTATTAATAAATTTGTACACTTTAAATAAACCATTATATTTAAGGTTAAAAAAACAGTATTTCCAGGGTTAAACTTCAAATTACATAAAAATAAGCAAAGAATAGTTTAAGCCTGTAATAATTCTAATCTGTAACATTCAGAAACTGTAATTATCAGTTCTAATCAACGTAAAACTTAGAGAATAAAGTTTTCCCCAAACACATTCCCACACACTCACACATCACAGGGTTACTAAGTGAAAAATTTACAACTCCCTTTCAGTAAATCTGAATATAAAATAGCTTAAGTAGAAGATATAAGTGGTAGTCTTGCATAATATTTTAGATACTCATATTAACACCCTACACTTATACCTGATATTTTAATGAAAATCAGATCTGATTTTATTTCTGCTTAATTAGAGGAAATAAAGTAACACCAAAGGGAACTACAATCATTTTTTCTAAAAAGGGCATCATTTATTATTTTCAAATGATTGATCATACTTAATCTTGATCATGTAATAATTGCTCACTACTAAACTAAGCACCTTCATCCATTAAAAACTTTAGTATAAACCTATCCATTCCAGGGCTAGCTGCTTAGCTCAGTTGGTTAGAACAGAGTGTTATAACGCTAAAGTCTAAGGGTTCAGCTCCCCATACAGGCTAGCCGGCAAAAGAAAAAAAATAAACATGTCTATTCTATGCTTAAAAAATAAGCCACAACTCTGCAAAGACATTTTTAAAATCCAAAGTAGAGTAAGTTTTTAATTTGCCTTTCTTAGAATGGAAAATCAAGTATAGCAACCTTCTAATTTTTTAAGCATTTGCCTCATTGAAAACTCTCTGTTCTAATCATTTTTTTTTCCTATTACCTTTATTACAAAATTGCCTCCACATTTTTTAATATATTCAGGGCTTTCAATCATTACCTTTAAATACTTAAGGCACATTTTAACACAATTATATCATGCCACACTTACGTGTCATATTCATAAGGCAGTACAGATTCCACTGAGTCCAATCTATTTACAAATAGTGCTACTGATGACTAAAAGAAGGAAAAAGAACATTTATTAGTAACACAAAGTAAAATAAGGTAGCACTTGAAAAATACATAATGAAGTAACTGAAAGGTAATTGGGTCTATTGCTATCATCAATTTATAACTGTATAGTCATAAATTTATAATTTAGTATAGTTATAAATTTATGACAGTTATAAATTTTTAATACAGTATAACTATAAATTCATAACATTTCATTAATCTAGCATCATTGGGTTCTCTGGATGCATAAATTTTTCATATACCTCAGCTGTTCTTAACCTTTTTTTAATTATATAACCCTTTGAGATTATGATAAAAGCCATGGCCCCTCTCCCCAGAAAAACACATGCATTCACCAAAGTCTCTGTTCAGTTTTAAGAGGCTTCAGAGAGCCCCTGGAGTCCAGGGAACTCAGTTTAAGAACTTGGGATGATTAAAGCTACCCGCATAAAAGTAATTTTCTTGCATTAACTATTTTCATAAGAATCATTCTAAAATATACTTCACTCTTTCCTATCTTAAACAGAACATAATGATCAAAATGTAACCTTCCTTGATGACTCGGGGTCATTTGGTACATCAATTATTGCATCTGCTTTGACTCTGTGACATTCTCAGGATCAAATAAGGTGAGAAGAGCTATTTGCCCAAAAACTACATGGCGACAGATGACTACCCACACCCTACTACCTATGTCCCTTCGCCCCCACCAAAGAACATAAATTCGTAAAGGTTTTACCTCTCTTTCACTTTGTCAGCTGTCCGTATGCCTCCTCCTCCTCCTCCTCCTCCTCTTTCTTCTTTTTCCCCCTAATCTGCTAGAGAGCAGTCCTTCCATTTGTGGAATAAATAACCGGATTCATTAAAACTATATCTAAAAGATGATCTCTGAAAGCATGAGATTTGGTGTATGAACATTATGACATCTATTCTGGCTCTTCATGGGACAGTTTTGCTTACTTCTGTGGATCTCAGCTATATACCTGATAGCTTACCAGATTGGACTTTTTAAACTGCTAAAATAGCACAAGTTGGGTAATCACTTTATCCTTTTTCAAAATGCACTGCTTTTAAAAAAAATTAAATATCTGCTATCAGCTTTACCATATGTTAGATTTATTTTTTTAAGAGGATGTAGAAAATTATCACGTTTGGGAACAAACATAAATAGCCTTACTATGGGGGCCGGCCCGGTGGCGCACTGTAGTGCACCGCTTGGGAGTGCGGCGGCGCTCCCGCCGAGGGTTCGGATCCCACATACAGACCAGCCGCTCACTGGCTGAGCGAGGTGCGGGCACAATACCGAGGGTTGCGATCCCGTTGCCGGTCCTGGTCCGGTACGGGCGCGACACTGAGGGTTGTGATCCGTTGCCGGTCACGAAAAAAGACAAAAAGGAAAAAAAAAATAGCCTTACTATGACTGTGTAAATAAGAAAATCGTATCTGCACTTAGTGCAATCTAATCAGAAATTTAGCAACTGCTCACTATGTGCCAGGTGTCTTTGTGAGTGCTTTTCATGCATTGTCTCATTTTATTCTCACAAGTCTATAGAGGTAAATAATATTGTCTTGTGTGTTTGCAGAGGAAAACCCAGGAGACCAACGTGGATTAACAGGCATCAAGAGGGTAAAAGTGTGAGACCACTGGAGCGAGGGGTGACAGAAATTTGTATCTAAGAAAGACCACAATGAGAGAGTGTGTCCCGAAAGGGAAACTGTGTACTGAGAATGAGAGGGAGGAGTGGAGGGAGAGGGAGGGTTGTAGATGCTGAAAGGGCGAGGAAGGAGTTAGGGGTGGAAGGTGAGGAGCTAGCTGAGGGAGGAGAGGCGCTAAGAGGGGGGAGGGGCAGCCAATAGAGAGAGGGAGAGGGAGGAGCTTAGAGGGCGGAGAGGGTGAAAGAGAGATGCAAGAGCAGAGGGGAAGGGACCAGAGGAGGAGCCGAGAGGAGGGGGAGGGGAGGAGGAGGTAAGAGGGAGGGGTAAAGGGGGCACCCAGGAAGGAGGGGAAGGGAGAGGAGCTGAGATTGACGTGCACGGAACAGAGGGGAAGGGGCGGGGTGAGGAGCCGAGCAGGAGGGGGACGGGGAGGAGCTGTAAGGGAGGAGGAGATGCTGAGAGAATTGGAGGAACACAGAGGAAAAAGAGATCTGGATCCGACCGGCGGGAGGCTAAGATAGAGACCCTGAGACACGCCCACAGGGAGGGCATTGGCATTCCGGGCGGAGGAGACCCTCGTCGGCCCGGGTCTGCCCCAGGCCCCTCCCCGAAGCCTTCCCTCCCATCTTCTTCCCTCCCTCTGGTCCTCACCTTGCAGGATGCGGTCTCTCCGGCCGCCTCGCGTAGTTGACTGGGGCCAACCCGGGGAAGTAGGAAGCCGTGAAACGGGCGGCCCGAAGCCCCAGGAGCAGCGCCAGCCCCAGTAGCCACCTCAGCCCGGCGAGGGCAGGCCTGAGGCGCCAGTGGTTGGTTCCCACTTGGAAACCACGAGTACTCATTCGAGAAGTCGGCTCAGGCGCTCGGGGACACACCATGAGGGCGAAGGGAACCAGTGGGGGGGAGAAGCAGAAATGGCAAGAGAGAACCGTAGACGGGGAAAACCCAAAACGGGCTGGTGGGGCTAGAACTCCTGGGCAAGCCATTTAGTCGGGCTACAAGCTGGCTTGAAACCCGGTTGCTAGGGTGCTCGGCGGGGTGGGTGAGCCGGCGGAGTGCGCATGCGTACGAGTTCCCGCCGCGCCTCCCCCTCCCGGCCCCGCACTTTCCCGCGGTTCCGGCGGCGCCTCCCACGGCGTCGCCTACGGCTTTGCTGGGCCTTGTTGGCGCGGGGAGCGAGGAGGGGCTGTTTGCGAGACCTTCACATCACAGTCTCGCTTCCTGCCGAGGATGCCTCTCAGTCCCAAACTAGCAGTGTCGCCGCCCCCGCCATCTTCGTTTCTGGCTGCAGGGGTTAGAGGGTGCGGGGAGTGGGGGCATTCTAGGGCCGGGCAGTCCAGGATGGTGGCTGTTAGGCACTTGAAATGCAGCTAGTCTGAGTTTGATGTTCTGTAAGTGTAAAATGCACACAAGGCTTCCAAGACAGAAACAACGCAGCGCCGGCCGGTTAGTGCAGCTGGTTGTAGTATGGTGCTGATAACACCAAGGTCCAGAGTTCGATCCCTGTTACCCGCTAGCCACCAAAAATGTATATATAAAAGATCTCAAGAAGTTTTGTATTGATGACATGTTGAAATGATATTTGGGGTCTATTACGTTAAATAAAACATTACTAAAACTAATTTCACCCGTTTCTTTTTATTTTTTTAACTTGAAAATTGTAAATTACATATGTGGCTCGCATTATATTTTTATTGGACAGCGCTGGTCTGGGGAAGGAGGAAGAAAGGGGAAAAGACTAAAGAAAAGGGCGGGGGAGGGGTCTGCTCTACGATATTGGAAGAAAGTCTTTTTTTCTCTCAGCGGTGGGGATCTTATTTTGCAACCTCTGTAAGAATCCTTGTCACTGTTACCTTCTGCTCCTTATGGTGTCTTATAATGCAAAGTGCTTGCATTTGGGCCAAGAGAGTATTGTAGGTATCATAGGACAAAGATAGCAGAAAAGCTTATTATTTTCCCCCTTGTGTCTCAAAAGCTTCAGAGAACAAGAGGTCATTTGTTAGTGCTGAGACGGGTGCCCCTCGCCAAGTGCGTTTCGGTCCAAGTTCTCTTTCTCCAGGAGGTCTGCGTCTTTGGGTGATTGACAGGCGGCGATTAAAGACAGAACAAAGGCAGCGAACTGGCTGGTAGCCAAGGCGTGTAGAAATTTAGCGAGTTAACTCTTGAATTAGAGACATAGAAAAAGCTATAGGAGAAATGAAAGAAAATGTATAAACGATCAGAAATAGGGGAGTTATGAAAGTGAAAAGATTGAACTTGACCAAAAGAATTGGAGACGCCCATGTAAAGATTTGGAGGACAGGATGGCATAATTAGAAGGCCACCGCCTTTGTGAAGAGGAACTGAAAAAGGGAGCCTAGGAAGCTTGAGAGTGGTCACTGTTGGGAGTAACCAGAGCTTGAATGAAAATTTTATGTTTCACCATTGCATTACCACCGCTCTCTGGTCTGCCTTTGGATGGAAAAGTGTACATATTAAAATAACTGGGAGGCTGCAACAGCCTCCCAGACCTGGGCCAAGAGCACAAACCTCGGCTCTCTGGGCTCCTAGTGCCTACGGAGCAGACCACAGTGGCTAGATGCTCCCCATACACACACCACCATCACCTCCAGGAAGCCTATCCCACCCGTAAGCAGGTGCTGGAGAGAGATTCCAACAGTGCCATTGAGGTCTTCCATTAAGCCTCCCTGTGGGGACCGCATCCACAGGTCTATCAATCTCAAGAAGTGAAGCAACACCGAAGGCATCACAGCCCTCCTGCTGCCACCAGTGTGTGATTGTCACCAGCTCCAGCCATCTGCTGGGCACCAAGCTGGGGCCAGAGATCGAGCAGGACATGCGCATCATGCACATGAACACGCCCACCATCAGCTTCTCAGCTGATGTGGGCAACAAGACCACCTTCCAGAAGCCTGATGGCCCATTCCATCTTATTCCATGTGCTTCGGGAGCTCTAGGAGTTCATCAATTGTCCCATCCAAACTATGTTCATCTTCTGCCTCTTCACACTCCAGCAAGACACATAAGCCCCAGGGCAGGCCTGGTTTTCCCCAACATGGAGGCCTGTAGAACTGGCAAAGACAGGTACCAGCCTTACAACCAGCCACCTCTGGCCAGCCCTGTACACCTTCTTATGTTGTATGCAAATAGGCATAGTTTTATTCCTTCCTTTACAATCTATGTGCCTTTTGTTTCTTTCCTGTCATTTCACTGGCTAAGATTTCCAATACGATGTTGAATGTAAATGGTAAGAGTGGACCTTCTTGCATTCTTCCACACATCTTAGGGGGAAAGCATTCAGTCTTTCACCATTAAGTGTGATATTAGATGTACGCTTTTTGTAGCTGCCCTTAATCAGCTTAAGAAAGTTCCCTTCTCTTCCTGGTCTACTGATAGTTTTTATCGTGAATGGATATTGAATTTTATCAATTTTTTTGCATCAATTGATTTGATCATGTGTATTTTCTTCAGACTATTAATATGATGGGTTATATTGATTTTCAAGTATTGAATCAGCCTTGTATTTCCAGAAAAAATTCCACTTTGCTGGTGTGTAAAAAAGCAACAACAAAAGCAAATGGGCTATACTGTGGTGTGGAGTGCAAAATTTGCAAGTCTTCTAAAAAGACAAAATTCAAAAGAATTTATTAATATTTGCTGTGCCCCTAACTCCATGGCACTCCTGTGCCATTAGAGGTAATTTGGTGGAAGAGCAGAAAATATTCATTTATTTGCTTACTTGTCTCTCTCCCTCTACTGGAAGTAAGTTTCTTGAGCACAGGGTCCATTTTTTCCTTGTCTTCATATCCTGCAGACCCAGGAACTTAGTAAGAAGAACACAACACATAGATTCAGAATAAATAAAATAATGAATGAATGAATACCATGTAATTTACACTGTCCTAGGCATTTTCATATAACTTACCTCATTTAGAAATCAAAAGAGGATACAATCAAAAAGTCAGAGTAAGTGTAGATAATGAGGATAATACCCACCCCCTCTTTTTATGTAGCAGTAGAGTTTAAAAAGTTTTTTTCCTATCTGTTATTTCATGGCAGGCAGGTTAGTTATTGATCTCTCCATTTTATGTGACATAACTGAGGCCAAAAAAGAGAAGTTAATTTGCTTGTCCAAGGTCACACAGCTAATAGATGACCAAGCTGAGACTAGAAAGCAGGTCTCCTGATGTCTAATATAGTTCTCAAATGTAATAGTATTGAAAGGAAGTAAACTCCTTTTATGATGTAGCTTTTAAATTTTCAGCTACGTCAATTAAGAATGTTTCAGAAACAAAAATAAAAAGATAAAACAAGTAAAAATTTTTTTAAAAGAATATTTCAGAAACAAGCAAAAGATAGAGTAAAGCGTATGAATCTCAAGTTAGTAGCTATCTTTGAGAATGGTGCCCAGAGAGATTTAGCCATAAAATTTGTGATATGTATTGTCACTCAAACAATTTTACAAAGGAGAAAAAAACAAATAATAGTGCTGTACCAAAGGGAGTACTTCAGGTCGCACTATAGAAAATTTATAAAATAGGCTATTGTGACCATTAGGTCTTTAATAGTTTTGTTTTGTTTTGTTTTGTTTTGTTTTGATGGCTGGTCAGTACAGGGATCGGAACCCTTGACCTTGGTGATATCAGCACCATATTCTAAACAACTAAGCTAACCAGCCAGTTCTCCCTCCCTTTTTTTAATAGTTTTTTTTTTTCCAAGTTTCCAACCATTTGGAGTTAAAAGTATCTGAGCTACAGTTCGCATCCTTCTTCGAGTTCACTTCAATGTGTACATACCAAAATTAAGTAGTGGAACAAAGGAATACTGTGATTCAATGGAATCATGCTCTATTTAAACTACGTTTCTAAATCATCATATTGGAACATCAAAAAAGGGAATTAATGTGCTATGATAGGTCAAATACGCCAGCTCTGGAGGCCAAGTATGCCAGCTCTGTACAGCTTTCACAGTATACTAACAGGGCCAGACTAGCTTGCCTCTTGGGCTTCCTGCCCTGACTCACTTTTTTCTTCCCAGTTCCCCCAAATCTAAATATGTTTCTCCCAAATTGATAGTGCAAATCTGGTTATGTCCCGCTCCTGTTTAAAATTCTTCAATGGATAGACAACTCAGTGCAGTGTGGGATACCGGATTGGACCCTAAAACAGAAAAGGATGCTAGTGGGAAAATGGGTGAGACCTGATTAAAGTCTGTAGTTTAGTTAATAGTATTGTATCAATGCTGGTTTCTGAGTTTCAGTGTTGTACAATGGTTATTTAAGATGTTCATATTAAGGGCCGGCCCGTGGCTCACTTGGGAGAGTGTGGTGCTGATGACACCAAGGCCACGGGTTCAGATCCCTGTATAGGGATAGCCGGTTGGCTCACTTGGAAGAGCATGGTGCTGACAACACCAAGTCAAGGGTTGGGATGCCCTTACCGGTCATCTTTTTGAAAAAAAAAAAAAAAAAGATGTTCGCATTAGATGAAACTCAGTGAAAGGTTTATGAGACCTCTTTGTACTACTTTTGCAATGCTCTGAAAATCTAAAATTATTTCAAAATAAAAAGCTGAAAAAAAAATCTTCTACTGGCTCTCCATTGGCCTAAAGATTAAATCCAAACTCTTTGCCTTTGCTTAAAAAGATCTAGATGAGGGCCGGCCCAGTGGCGCACTGCTACAGTGCGCCGCTTGGGAGCGCGGCGGCGCTCCCGCCGAGGGTTCGGATCCCACATACAGACTGGTTCCCGCTCACTGGCTGAGCGAGGGGCGGGTGCAGCACCGAGGGTTGCGGTCCAAAAAAAAAAAAAAAGGAAAAAAAAAAAAAAAAAGATCTAGATGAGCTGACCACCCCCATACACCTCTCCAGCATGGAACTTCAGTGGGGATGTTACCCAAACCCAAATCTGGCTGCCTGCTGCCCAACAAAAAACAAACAACTCAGAAGTCAAATGTTGGTAAAATAGGAAGTCAGCTTTATTCAGGAATACGGGTGACCTGAGGGAGATGTTAGGCTAACCCATCTCCCCAGTAAACCTGAAGGGGATGTCCAAACTAAAACTGTCTCAAAGACACAGATTTACTGAGGGGTCTTTAAAGAGGAGATTGAAGGGCCGGCCCGTGGCTCACTTGGGAGAGTGTGGTGCTGATAACACCAAGGCCACAGGTTTGGATCCCTATATAGGGATGGCCGGCTAGCTCACTTGCGAGAGCATGGTGTTGACAACACCAAGTCAAGGGTTAAAATCCCCTTACCAGTCGTCTTTTAAAAAAATAAAAAATAAAATAAATAATAATAATAAAGAGGAGATTGAGGGAATGGAATATGGGAAGCAAAAAGCAGGAGGGAGGAGGACGTGAGCTGTGAGAGCCAGGTGCAAGGTCTCGCCAAGGCTCCGTCTGGTTTCCGTTCTCATCCTTGATGTTATCTTAGGGTCCTGCAGGATTTTGATTTGCTTCAGGGTGGAATCAGCATACCTTTACTGATGTCTTTCTTGGTTTCTCAGGGGCTAGATAGGACACATCTTGTGGCAAGTCTGCAGCTCCAGGCTGATTGAAATGCAACTTTATATATGTAAATAATGTCATCTTGCCCCATAACCAAGGTTCTAAATATCAAATAACCATAAGAAAAGAGGGAACTCAGAGAAATACATACTAAGAAAAAAAAAACTGTGTCCTTTCTTTTTGTTTCTAAAGCCCATGTAGTTTTAGGTCAAAAAAATCCTGATTTTTCTCCTCCTAAACTCACAACTCTCTCACAGTCACTTGCTGCTTTGCCTCCCACGGATTTGTCACCCCTTTTCCCCTGGGTGATGGAGCTGCCAAAGATTACTCAAAGCCCATCTCTTCTGAGCAGTGAGAAGCCCCCTAAAGGGGTTAATCTCCTGGAACTCTCAAGAGTGAGGCATTCCTTCCATTTGGGAAATTAACCCTGAGTTGGGGTTCTCTTCCTGCATTTATTCTCCAGACCAGGAACTTACAGGAAGAGAGCACAGGTGGGGTTTTTGCTAAGTATAGTTTAACAATAGGCATTCCATAATGCAATTTTCAAGAAGTTAAGTTGATCCACCAACAGAAGTTTGATCTTAGCAAACATTCGCTTCTTACAGCAATTTCCCAGTATCTTTACATATCAATCAGTAACCTGTCTGTCTTTGAGCCAGCAACCTTGCTACAATTTTTTTATCTTACAACAGAGACTATAAAGCCTGGGGGAAATTTCCTGTCCTTTGCAAGGTCAATATTTGAAACTGCAAGGCTTTGGAAAACCAGACCCTGTGAAGTACATTTGTTTTATGCATACTCCACAGGGCTCCACTACCACATTCCACTCTATTCTTCTCCAGAGAACTACTTTCAGTTATACTAAGAAGCCCTTCTGTCCAGCCTCTAGACAAGGAAAATCCTTGCTGTTCCTTGGGTCTAATATGTTCTGCTGACCCTCCCACCCCCTCTACTATATTTTGCTTAGCTGAAATCTTGTTTATATATTTCAGCTCTTAATTTGGAAGTTATGTGGGGCTGGATGGTTAGCTCACTTGGTTAGAGCGTGGTGTCAATAACAGTAAAGTCAAGGGTTTGGATCCCTGTACCAGCCAACCACCCTCATGAATAGATTAATGCCCTCCTTGGGGTGGGGGGTGTGAGTGAGTTCTTGCTCCATTAGTTACAGTGAGAGACAGCTGTTAAAAGGAGCCCGGCACCCCCCCTCTCTCTCTTGCTTCCTCTCACCATGTGATCCACCACCACTCCCCCTCTCCCCCAAGCTGGCTGTCTGCCATTTTCAACCATGAGTAGAAGCAGCCTGAGGCCCACACCAGATGCAGCTGTCCCAGAATCGTA